AGAACCTGCGCTTCAACCTTCTGTCCGCCGCACAACTCATGGACTGCGGCGTCGACCTCAGCACGGATCGCGCGGCGCGCGGCATCCTGCTGCACTACGAGTCGCGCACCTTTCCCCGCAGGCAGATCGGACGAGCACACTCCGAGAATGGAGTGTATGTCCTGGATTTCGACATTCCCGACTGCAGCGGCGACTCGCACGAGTTAATTGACCTCGTGCCACTGCGCTTCGAGCACATCCACCGCAGGGATTGGAAGCACCCTGACGGCAGACCGTGGGTGCCGCATCATCCTCACCCACGCGAAACGGCGCTGCACAACCCTGACCCAGACGGCATCTGCAGGGATTGTCACACGCCGACGACATCAACCAGCGCAATTGCCGGCCGCGGACTCGCCGCCATCGCTGAAGCAGAGCGTCACGCGCCGCCAGAGGAAGGAATGTCTCAGCTCGAGCTTGAGGTCACTACTCGCCGCGTGTTTGGCGCCGACCAAAGCCCCCACGCCGGACCACCCTCGCAGCGGCTCGAAGGCATTCTGCGCGGTCAACGCCGCGGAACTTTGGACTCACGCAGAGTCGCGCGCCCTTACACCCTCGAAGAATTTCTGAAGGTCTACCCCCATTGGCGCGACCCCACGGCAAAACTCACCGTGGAGCAGGAGGAAGAACTGGCGCGACGTGAAGCAGAGGAGCTTCGCCAACAAAGCCTCGCCGAAGCACGCGGAACATTCGCGTGCAGCGCTTGGGGAGCCGAAGTAGAAGAAAGCGCCTCTAAGAAGGGGGGTGGGGGAGCGCCGGCGGATGGGGAACGAGCGACACTGGCGGATGGGGAGATAACGGTGGAACCTGGCCCAACGCAAGCGACGGATGGGGCGCCGCAAATGGCGCAGACAACAGCGGTTGGGGGACTTCCCGCGAAGAACGAAGGGGGGGAGAGGATGAAGCAGAAGGGACTGAGGCAACACCTGCAGTCGTTCCCCTTGGTCGTCCCCCGCGTCACACTCCACTCACATTACCTCCTCCTGACAACCCCCTGCATCACGATCCGTGGGACACCATACACTGGGGTAACGAGCCGTCGACCCCGCGTCGCACCGCCTACGGACCTGCTCCCGAGCCACGCGAACCAACCCTCGTCCCTGGAACCATTCCCGGGACCAATATCCCGCTTTCCGAGATCCGCGACAGAGAGTTTTTGGCGCTGATGCTGACCACCGCGGCAGAAGAAGAAGAAGCAGAGGAAGCAGCAGCAGAACCTGCTCCTGTACCGGATGAAGACCCTGAGGAAGCACGCGCACGCTACATGCGCACCTCCGTCTTTCGCGCTGACGATGCACTCTGGCACCAGCGCCTCGGACACCCTTCACGCGCGACACTGAAAAACTGCATCGACGCAGGCGTCTTCGCTCCTGGAGCGTTCTTGCGACCAGATGGCTCTGAAGTGAGAGGCGCAACACACCCGCGCAACTGCACCGTCTGCCCCGAAGCTGCACTAAGCCATCAACCATTCCCGCTACTCGAGCCAGGGACGAATCGCTACCCCAAGCTGCACAAGGTGTACAGCGATTTCCTGAACGTGGGGCATTGCGGAGTCGATGATGAATTGTATACGCTCACCTTCATCGACGCGGGAATGCGCTACGTGTGGGTCATAAACGTGGAATCGCGCGACAGAGCCTACGAGGTATTTCGCCTCTGGCTAGCTCATGCGGAGCGGCAATCTGGGAAGAAGCTGAAAACCTGACAATCTGACGGCGCGGAAGAATTCAGGAGCAACCAGATGCAGACCTACTTGGCGCAAAAGGGGATCGAGCATCACATCTCTCTCCCCTACGCGCACCAGCAGCAGGGCGTAGCTGAGCGGACGAACCGCACGCTGATGACGAAGGTGCGGGCGCTGATGAAGCAGTCAAAACTACCACCGATCTACTGGACCTACGCAATGCACCACGCCGTGCGGGTGCATAACCTGCTTTCAACCACCGCAATCACCGGCAACCTGTCCCCGCACGTCAAATGGACCGGGACCAAGGGGGATACCTCCATGCTCCGCGTGTGGGGGTGCATGGTGCAGTACCGCCCGCCGACGTCAACCATCGGCAAATTCGCCAGCCGCGCGCGCTGGGGAATTCACCTCAGGATCAGTCACGAGTACAAGGCGTGGATCGTGCTGGACCTTCTCAGCCAGAAAACCGCCCACGCTCGCGACGTAATCTTCTACGAACGTCTCTTCCTCGAGCAGTTCCGCGACGACGAGCAGAGAAATGCGAACCGTGTCTACGCGAACGACGGGCACAGCTATGCAACGCCCGAAGACGAAGCCGCTGCAGCAATCCTGGAGCAGGACACCAGGGGCGAGTTCACATGGGAAGATCGGCGCAGCAGCGACGACGACGACGACGACGATGATTCCTTGGGAGGAGGAATGGGCGGAACAGGCGGAAGCGGAACAGTCGGACACGGTAGAGGCGCAGCACCACCTGAACCAGAGAGCGATGACGACGATGTGCAGGAAGTCATCCCGCAACGTCGCCATCTCAGGACTGCAGCAGCTCGGGCTTCACACCGCAACCTCGAAAGCGCCACGTGTCATCGAGCCTCGAAACCCGCGCGAAGCTCTCTCTGGACCATATAGCAAAGAATGGCGCGAGGCGATGGACGCAGAGATCAAGGCGCTCGAGTCCCGAGACACCTGGGTGCTGGTCGACCGTGCGGCAATCAAAGGCGCAAGGATCCTCTCGGGGAAGTGGGTCTTCCGCGTGAAGACCGCAGCGGATGGAACGATCGAGCGCTTCAAGGCGCGCTGGGTGGTGCGCGGCTACGACCAGAGGCATGGCATCGACTTCGACCAGACGTTCGCTCCGATCAGCCGTCACTCCTCCGTTCGAATTTTGCTCGCCATCGTAGCTGCAAGACACCTACCACTCCGCCAAATCGACGTGAAGAACGCGTTCCTGTACGCGTTAGTGGACGCCGTGATCTACGTGGAGCAGCCGCACACATACAGGGAAGGGGACTCGCGCGTGTGTCAGCTGCGTAAGTCGCTCTACGGAATCAAGCAGGCTCCGAGGCTGTGGCAGCAGTACCTGCACAACATCCTGCTTGAAATCGGATTCAAGCAGATGCCGCACGATCCAGGAATGTACCGCCGCGACTTCCGCGGCGAATACATTCTCCTCACGGTGTACGTCGACGATCTTCTTTACACAGGCTCAAACAACGAGCTTCTCGAGCAGTTCGAGAAGGCCCTGGCGGGGCGCGTCGACATCACGTGCAACTACGAGGTGAAGCAGTTCCTAGGCCTCAACATCTCCTACGCACCTGAGGCCATTCACCTTTCAGCGGCTAAGTACGCAGAGGAGTTAGGGAAGCGGTTCAACATCTCACCTGCACCCCTCTCAACTCCCTACCGAACCCCCGGACCGAACCACAAACCCGACAACAAAGCCCTATCCCCTGCTGGAGTTCAGACTTACCAGCAGCAGCTAGGATGCATGCTCTTCGCTTCTCTCCTACAAGCCAGATCTCTCCTACATCGCAAGTCAGCTGGCGCAGTACTCACGCAAACCAACGGCTGAGAATCTCCTGGACCTGCAGCGCGCCCTACAGTTCTTCGTCTGAACGCCCAAGTTTGGGCTGTGCTACTCAACTGCACCAACTCCATCCTTCAATCTCATCGGCTATGTGGACGCCGATCATGCAGCAGACCCCGATAATCGACGGTCCAGGACTGGCTTCCTGTTCCGACTCGAACCAACGGGACCAATCTCCTGGAACTCGCAGAAGCAGGAGCTGGTTGCCCTGTCGTCAGCCGAAGCAGAATTCATCGCAGCAACCGCAGCAGTTCGCGAAGGCCTCTACTTGCAGGAACTCCTGCAGGAGGCGAAAATTCCAGCTTCGCCCACCTTTCGTCCTCACTGCGACAACCAGAGCGCGATTCGCATCGCGAACAAGCCTGGTTTCGTCAACCGCACCAAGCACATTGCGCTGCGGTACTTCTTCGTGAAGGACGAGGTGGACAAGGGCAAGGTCAACTTGACCTACTGCCCGACCGGTGACATGGCAGCCGACTTCCTGACGAAGCGACTGCCACGCCAGCAGTATCAGCACTGCTCCGAACTCAGCGGCGTGGTCAAGCAGGTCAAGTCGAGCTACGGCCAGGAGTGAAGGGGGGTGTTACGAATAGTAATATTTGATATTACTGTGCACTCCTCGCCGCTGCAAAAAGGAGCACGCAGTATCGAGAATGAACGCGAAGAGTCAGACGGTTGGAAGTTGACTCGAAGCGTCTGACAGTTACAACACATCAGGACCGTCGGCATCGGGCAGCTGCAGGCAGGATGGTTTTGGCGGGAACAGTTTCGGAACCGTACGCGCCGCACGGTTGGGAATGTATTTGAATAAGGGAATGTACCCCTTAGAGTACATGGCTAGTTAGGTCGTTTCGTATTCCCCTGTACTCTTATTTATTTCACTGTATTTGCATGTTTTTATCATCACAAGCATTTTACATTTACTCTGCTATTGAGGTCAAGGGCCCACCAATTTCACTTCCCTGCGTGCGAACCTTCTTGGGTAGATCCTGGTGGCGATCAACTTCTGATCGCAGCAGAAACCACCCAGGGGCCAGATTCATTGAAACAGCCCAACCTCGGTGGTGATGCATGCAGCGCCCACACTTGCCACGTGATGGATGCAGCAAAGTTGCCACCGCTGGCAACATTCCTCCGTGCTGGCAGCATCTAATGATGCTGCCAGCGTCGTTTTGCTGCCAGCTTCGTTTTGCTGCCAGCAGTGCATGGATGCTTCCAGAACCCTGCTGGCAGCACGATGGCCGCAGCATGGCTGTCCTCTACGAGGAGATGCCTCGTAGAGGAGCGCCTTGGCTTCTTTGGAAGGGGCACTCTGGCTTGGGGGGGGTAGTCGGGCTCTTGCTTCATTTGGTGATATGTGGAGGTTGAATTCTCAACTCAACCTTGCTCTCGGCATGCTCCCTAACCATGCGCAGCAAAATACCCGCAAGCACGTCCTCACCTCGTCCTCACGTGCACGTGAATGACTACGAGCGAATTAACTCGCCCGGCGATGTCATCCGTGTAGCCATGGCGAAGAACGCGAGCAAGGCGGGAAGATCTACTGCCGCCTCCTGTGCGAGCTGTGACGGGGACGACGGCGACGACGCTGAGGAGGATTGGCCGGAGAACGGCCACGACGACAGTGCTTCGGGCGACGAAGTGGCCCGTGCCGACATCGAGAAGGACGAATGGTGGAATCGCCCGGTCGGGAGTGACGACGAAGTGGAAGAGTGGCGGGCTGGTGATTCGGACAACGACGAAGGCGCCGAGGCTGAAGGTGACCAAGCGGCTACAGCAGCGGATGCACCGGAGGCTGGCAACGAGGCGGAAGTGGATGCTGAGGCAGTGGCGCCCGCGGAGGTGGCTGCCCTTGCGGATGCGGATGCTGTGGTGGAGGCGGATACGGCTGCTGCGGAAGGATGTGCTGATGCCGTCCTGCTTGACAATGAATGCGAGGTCGACGACCCGTGGAGCATTGTGGCGTACGACGACGTTCCGCTACTGAAGCGGAGGTTGCGCCATCGCCTACAGTCCAGTCAGAAGCGTGCACGGGTGGTGCTATCTGACGATAACAACCCGGGGGTGGAGCGTCGCCCGATACTCACCGCTGCAGCGAAGGGTAAAAGCAAGGTCGCGGAAGCCCCTGCTAAGGCCACTGCTCGTCGCCGCACAAGCAACAACGGCGACCCTGGATCCAGCAAGGGTGCTGCTAAGAAGAAGGCGAAGAAGACGCCGAATCCGGACGACATCGTCGTCAACGAGACTCTGAGCAGCGACGACGATTACGCGGAAGCGGCGGGCCCGATTCCTTCATTCCCTGAGAAGCCCACGCCGAAAGACCCCACCCTCGATAATCCCAACACCCGCCCACCTTCCCCTCGCAGCAAGGACACTGCGAAAAAGCGACACGGATGGACCGTGCGCGAGAAGCTGAAGTGGGCGCGCCGCTACCAGGAGCTCGGCTCCTTGAACAAGACGAGCTTGGAGTCAACGGCCTCCATCGCCTGCATCAGACGCTGGAGTGCGGAGGCGGCTGCGGGCTTCTACAAGGGGGCGGCGAATTGCCGCAAGCGGATGCACGGGGGGGGGGGGGGGGGGGGGGGGGGGGGGGGGGGCCACACACACTACCCCGACATGGAGGCGGCGCTGTACCGCTACATCTGCCTTCAGCGCGCTAACGGAGTGGCCATTGTCAGAGGTCCACTGGAGATCCCCGATGATCCTAGGGAAGGGTTACAGGCATGTTGGCCTGGGGGGTTATGGGCGCACTCACCCGCTACACAAACAAGCCCTTTTATCCCAGTGGTTAGTGGCTGGGATTCTGACATGGTATCAGAGCGAAGGTCTCGGGTTCGAATCCCGGTGTGTGCACCTCGGGCATCCCAGTGCGGGGGGGTGTCAGAGGTCCACTGGAGATCCCCGATGATCCTAGGGAAGGGTTACAGGCATGTTGGCCTGGGGGGTTATGGGCGCACTCACCCGTTACACAAACAAGCCCTTTTATCCCAGTGGTTAGTGGCTGGGATTCTGACAGCCATCTCGGTGAAGGACACCCAGAAGTGGAGCCGCGAGTGGATGAAGAAGCATTACCCGGGCAAGAACTGGAACGCGAGCTCTCATTGGAGCCAGCGTTTCCATGACCGCTGGAACCTAGTCATGCGGGTGAAGACCAAGGTCGGTCAACGTTTATTGGCAGGTAAGCGTTGACGGAATTTGTTCTACACGCGATGCTTGAATGCAAGTTCCGCGGCCAGTCTCTAACCATCCCTTGCTCCCGTGCCGTTTGTTTTGTTTGCAGAGTGCAAAGGACTGCGAATCCTTCTGGAAGTTCGTGCGCATCAACAGGGTGCGGCACAACATCGACCTGGCCCGCATCATCAACGCGGACCAGACTCCACTATTCGTGGAGATGCCGGCCGAGAGGACGATCGAGCACCGTGGCGCGCGCTCGGTCCCAATCCGCACTGCAGGCTACCAGAAGACGCGCTTGACGGTGATGCTCGCGTGCACTGCATCCGGGGAGAAGTTGCGGCCGTGGGTGTGGTTCAAGTTGAAGAACGTGCCCAACTGTGAGATTCCTGAAGGTAAGTTAAAGATTACAAAAGCTGAATGCCTTTTGAGCGTGCCCCACTGTGCTGACGGCCGTCCCACTTTGTGCCTGGCAGGAATCGTGGTCCAAGCACAGGACAACGGGTGGATGGACGAGAGCGCTGTGCAGACCTGGCTGTCCAAGGAGGTGCTGCCCCATCTGAACCCCCAGAGCGGTCAGAACGCGAGGCGTGTGATGCTGGTGTTGGACTCCTATTGCGGCCACATCACCCAGACAATGCTTCAGTCGTACCGCACGTACAGCATCACCCCTGCAGTTATCCCAGCGGGTTGTACGAGCCAGATTCAACCCCTGGACGTCTCCATCAACCGGTGCTTCAAGGCTGCCGTGTGGGCGCGCTACGCCAGGTGGTTCATGCGTGAAGGGATTCACCTGAAGACAAAGAAGGGTGAATTGCCCATTCGTTTACAAATTCTGCTCTGTTTCCTGTCCATGTCTCTAACATGTCTCTGCCCTTGCCTCTGTCTCACCCTCAGGGAACCTGCGGAGGCCTCCGCACCCCGTGGTGCTGCAGTGGATCGCGGAGGCTTGGGATCAAGTCCCCAAGCAGATCATCATCGACGCGTTCCGCCACTGTGGGATTTCAAGCAAGCTCGACGGAACGGAGAACCACCTGGTGATGTCTCACCTGCGCGCCAGGAGCACCACCGATGTCTCCGAGGACATGACCCTCGGAGGGACCACGGGCGACAACACGCGCCTGCTCGGTCAGGCGCCAGAGGAGGAGGAAGAGGAGGAGGGGATGCAGGCGGAGGGCGTGAGGGAGGTGGCCGTGGCAACCGGCCTGGAGGTGCTGTACCAGGAGACCCCCAACTACCGCGGAGCGGCGGCCGAGGCTGACCGCATGATCGAGCCTAGGGAGACGGCTAGGCATGCCTGGCGAGTGCCAGACCTGCGTGTAGAGCCTGTTGTTAGTGCAGGTGATGAGGCGGTGACTGAGGAGGGTTAGGTAGAAGTAGAGATTCATGAATGTATGCATGTGCCCCCTCAAAGTAAGCAAGGCTCGTTTAGAAGACACCCCCTGTTTATATGGAAACCCCTAAACCCCGGTTCTGATTATAAGACATATGTCTTATCTCGTACACACAAATAGGTGTCGTATAAAAAGGCTAGCCTGTTTATAAGAGACACCCGTATAATAGACAACCCCTGTCTACTATTCAACACTGTCTACTATCCGGGCGATGACGGTAGTACCGGTCTAAGTACCGGTACCCACCGTATAAGTTTCCTTTTTCTAACAGCTTCACCTGTTTCTTGTAAGACATACGGTAACAAACATGATGAGTAATCAAACAGATTCACAAGCAATTGGCCTCTAAACAGCAAATATTAGCACCAACCCTACTTTACACTACATGTGCTGGACTGCCTCTGCCTCTCCCCTGCTTGGAGGTTCACATCACATCACAGCACATCACATTACATCACATCACATCACATCACATCACATTGTTGGAAACAAGTAATTTACGCTTTTGATGTGTCGAAACATCAAACCAAACGAAGTGAATTACAGCGAAGCAACGGCGAGTCAACCGAGGGGGTTGGCAATGTTAGAAACAAGTAACTTAAAACGCTTCTGATGTGTCGGAACACTGAACCGCAAGCAAAGTGAACTAAACGAAGCATCGGCGAGTCAACCAAGGAGGTTGACAAAATGTACTTGCTGGAGGTTACGCGAAGGTCAAAGGTCAAGCGACCTTTGACTCGACAAATACAGCGCGACAGCAAGGACAAACAATTGATTCGTTATTGAGCAGTTGCCCGAGTCGTCACTGTATCGAACCGCAACAGCAACAGTAAAACGGTTATTGCATCCTTTCATATTCCTTGTAATCTTATAAAAAGCTTGTATTACCTTTCTATAATTAGTCTATCTTGCCCTCACATACCAGCGCAAGGTGGTTCTACTCTTATGATCAAACGCTTCCGCAATTACAATATTCCTACCCAGAGTTTCGCCTTGAAAAGATCCTAAGGGCTTTTTCTCAGCCCAACATTGTATGACAGCTCACTAGGCAAAACCACACTCCGTTTCAAATCCTACAACATCAGAAGATATGGCGACACAGAAGGAGAGAAGCTCCTCTAACGGCTCTCCCGGCACTACTCCTACTCCACCTCCTGCCTCTGGCCTACAGACAGAGGGATGCACAGCGACAAGGCCAGCTGCTGAGTCTACTGAGACTCCCGCGAATCAAACGACAGGCTTCGACCCAAGCATGATGGAGAATTGTTTTCTCCTTCATGTCCTTCTACGAGCAACACCAGCAAGCAGCACCTGCTCAGTCGAACAACAGCAACAACAACTACGATGTCACGCCCATGAGTCTCGATGGCTCATCCTACGCACGCGGAAACTAACAGCAACCTACCTTTGCTCCATACGAGCCCCAACGTGGCTCCATCAGCTTAATGCCGCAGCCCTCACCTGGACAAGAAACGACACTGGACGCGCTTCAGATTCAACCGCAATTCGCGCACGACCTAAAACTGCAAACGTCAAGACCATTCGACGGCAAGGATTTCTATACCTGGTCGTTCGAATTTGAGCTGATGATGGAAGGCGCACAAATTTTTGGGTTCTTCGACGGCTCCCAGCCATATCCAACGCACGGGACGCAATACGACAAGCAGTAGTACACATACCAGTCGCTGATGGCGTACACGATCCTGCTACGCAACATAACGCCGAACGAGCAGCAGAACATCCGGTCTTATCGGGGATACGGAAACTCTACCGAGCTCGCGTACAACCACCTGAAAGGCATGTATCAAGTAGCAGACAGTGTTAATCAAAGTCGTCTCATGGCACAGCTGACAACAGTGGAAATGAAACCTGGTGAAAAGGGTTTGGCGTATGTTAGCCGATGCCGCGGACTGCGCAATAGACTTCTTCGATGCGGAGGATCGATTTCCGAAGACGCCATCGTCATCACTCGTCTTGGTCCTCATTGGCGCTCCACTCGAGCCATCCTCCGAGCCCATGGGAAGATCTCGGAAGCTGCACTCTGCGCCGAAATCCACGCCGAACAGCAGGACATGGACCTGCAAGAAGAACGACACAAGAAGAGAACGTCAACACCCGGGTTTGCTTTTCACACTCAGCGGCGCTACAACAACAACAACCTCCGGCAGAACATGCATCACGGACAACAACTGGTACCTCCGTTCTGTCATCTCTGCAAGACGTCGGAACACCCTCACACACACTGTCCATAGCAGTCAACACCACCGCAACATCAACTCCGGCCTTCAAGCAGTCAAGTCGCCTCGACACAAGCGCATCCGATTGCTCAAGTACAAACTTCAACAACATCAACGACACAACATGCACAAGGATCAAGAAACATTGTCAGCTGCATGGCAAGAATAACCGACTCCTGCATCACCGAATTGCCACCACACTACTCACCATAAGAGTTACTCGATGAGAGCACCCCTCGTCGCGAATCACTGCAGCCGAACCAGACGTACGCAGCCATCGCCCAAAGCGAGCCGTCCGGAAAAGACACCTGGTTCTTGGACAGTTGCTGCGGACAGCACATGTGCTCCTCGGGTCGCTTCGTTCAACGGGAACACCAACTTCAGCGCGAAGTCGTCATCACCGTCGCCAACAATCAGAACCTGCGCACACGACGACAAGGCATAGTTCAACTTCAGTCAAGAGAAACCAACGTCATACTCCAGATGTCAGAGGTTTTAATCGCGGAGGGACTCGGCTACAACTTACTGAGCGTCAGTCAGCTGATGGCGAAATGTATTCACCTCGAAGCAAACAGCCCACTCAAGAGTTCAAGCTATACCACGGGAGAGGCGGACTTTACATCGGGAAGGCGGTGTTGAAGAACAACATCTTCGTCCTCGACTTTGTTCCCGACCTAGGCACCGCCGACAGCGACGCCATCGTCAACTTCACCTCTTGGACACACCCACCGGATCTCGATTCCGAGTTCAGCCCTGGAGGTTTCTGGTACTCGAACACGATACCTGAAGCAGAACGAACAAGAGCGCTAGCAACGATTCAACAACCGGAAGCAGCAGAGACAACACCACCAGCAGCAGAGACAACACCGGCAGCAGCAGAGACAACATCGGCAGCAACAGAGACAACATCGACACCAATCGCTGGTCCTTCAACAGCACCGGTCTTCGTCGACGACACGCCACCGACTCCTGCGCAACAGCTGACTCCCACTCCAGGAGAAGTCCATAGAAGCGCTCACTTCACCGCAGGCTTCTACTCCAACTCCGACATGTGCAGACGTTCACCTGGACATCGCGCCACTGAAAGTACCTGGCACGCAAGACTGGGACATCCGAGCAACATAACGTTAAATAATACGATAAGAGCAGGTGTGCTCGACAAGGACTCACTGCTTCTAATCGACGGCACAGAACTCCAGCGAGTCCGCGAAACGTGCTTCACCTGCCCTGAAGCCGACTTACCACATCAGCCGTTCGTCTCGCATCACAGTCCGAGCACACCAGCATACGCACCTCCGGAGAAAGTGTACAGCGACATACTGTACAACCGCGAACCTGGACAAGGAGCATATAACTACGTCATCACGTTCATCGACGCTGCCACAAGATACGTCTAGCACTTCAATCTCCCGAGCCGCGACATGGCCCTTGATGCCTTCGCCGCCTAGCTTCCAGCAGCAGAACGAGAATCAGGAGTGAAGCTGAAAAGCTTCCAGTCAGACGGGGGAGGGGAATATCAGTCACAAAGGTTCAAGGACTACTTGGCAGAAAGAGGCACTCATCTCCCTTCCCTACGCCCATCAACAGCAAGGCGTGGCAGAACGAATAAACAGGACCCTCCAGAACACCATGCGCAAGTTACTACGTGGCATGTGGCTACCCAACCACCAGTGGCCCGAAGCAATGGACCATGCTGTGATGCTGCACAACTTGCTCTCGTCATCATCGCTCCCGAACAACGCATCACCGCATCTGCTGTGGACAGGAAAATTGGGCAACACAAAAATGTTACGAGTTTTCGGCTGCATGGTACAGTACCGACCCCCAGCTGCACGAGCCGGCCGATTCTCCCAACGCGCACAGTGGGGACTACACCTGGGCATCGAAAAACACTACAACGCGTGGAAAATCTTCGACATCAACACAAAGGAAACAGTGGCAGCACGTGATGTCATCTTCTACGAAGGACTCACCCTCCCGAAATACCTTGCCAACTTGCGAGAAGGAAACCCGGACCTCTCGGACGGATTTCTTGGCAAACGAGCCTTCGCCTCGGCAGCAGATGAAGCTGACTGGGACGAGCAGAACGTGGAAGGAGCCTCGGAAGCAGCCGGACCTCTCCTGTACTGCTGGATCGACGTACCAATGGACGATGACAACCCAAACGAAAACATCAACGCCGAAGTATATTATCATTTCGCCGACGAGGGTTACGTTACACCCGAACAAGTCAACACCGACGAAGCAGAACGCGTAGGACCCAATTTCACTCCTGATCCAGAAGCAAAAAATGAAGCAGCCTATCCCGAGGATACAACTCTACCTCGCTACACACAAAGCGGACTGCAGATACTCGGCCTCGTCACCATCGTCCACGGAGCAGCGCCACCTAAGGAGCCTGCCACAATTCAGGAGGCTCTGTGGGGGGAGCACAGTGAAAAATGGCGCGAAGCCATGGACAGGGAGTTAAAGGCGCTGGAAGAACGTAACACCTGGAAGATTGTACCCATCGGAGTGGCACGCAACAAGACCATTCTCACCGGAAAATGGGTCTTCCGCGTAAAATCAAAAGCAAATGGCACCATCGACAAGTTTAAAGCGCGATGGGTCGTTCGCGGCTTCGACCAAGAGCACGGACGAGACTTCACTGAAACGTTCGCGCCAGTCAGCCGGCACACCTTATTGCGAATTCTCCTCGCAATAGCCGCCACGAAGCGGAAGAAGCTCCAACAAATCGAC